GTCCTCCGGTCTCCCTCGTCCCCTCCTGCACCTCAGCTGCTCCAGCTCCAATCTACAAGCCACAAGCCTGTCTACAGGCGCGCTGCTACTTCGCGCGCAGCCTCTGCCGCCTCGAGTTTTTGTAGGTTTTGTCCACCTCCACTACCTGCAGCGCACAGCAGGCGCCACGTAATCTGCGGGAAGGACCGAGCGCAAGCGCAAGGAGCGGAGGGCAGGCGGGGCCTGCGGCGCGGGGAGAGGCGCCCCGCGGGCGGCCGCTGCTCCGTCCGCCGCCGCCTGCTCCCCCTCCCCGCTCGGCGAGCACTCGGAGGCTGCGGGAAGCGCGGCCCGGACCCACCTCGGCGTCGCGGTTGAGGCGGTACACGTAGAGCTGCGAGGTGCCGGCCACTACGAGGTTGCGCTCGCTGTTGTTGAAGAAGTTGCAGTACATGGAGAACTCCAGGCCGGTGGGCGGGTGCGCCTGCTTGTACACGGCGTACATGGCGCCGAGCCCGAGCTGCGAGGGGCGGGGAGGCGACGGGATGAGTGGCGCCGCGGCGCTCCGGCCCGGCCCGGCGCCCCCTCCCCGGCCGCACGCGCACCCACCCACCTGGCAGTTGGAGCCGGCTCGTGGGGGAACGGGACCGCGGCGGACACTTCCCGGCCGGATCCGGAAGCTGAGCGCCCAGGTTCCGGGCGCCCGCGCCTGCGCAGTGCCGCGGCGGTCGAGGGGCTGCGCGTGCGACAGCGACTCCTGGTGGCGGGGCAGCCTCGAGGCTTTGCGTCCGGAGCCCCGAAACCCCAAGCTCGCTGTACACTCGGCTTCCTGGAGAAATGGGGCTGGGGGTGCGGCGGTTCATGGCCGGCTGGGCTGGGGCCCGCCCTCCCCGACGAGGGTGGGGTCGCCGAGCAGGGGTCTCGGCCGCAGGAAGACGCGACTTTCCGCCACCACGCACACGCGGGCGAGGCGCGGTGCGGGTGCTGGCGCCCGGGTGGGCGGGGGGAGGGCCCGAGCCGCCAGTGCGGAGCCGGGCGTCGGGAAAGCTTCCGGAGAGGTGACGGGCAGCGCCCCTGCCGCCTCCCGAGGACGCCTGGGCCTGCGGCTTTGCCCGCCCGCCCTCCGCTGCGGGAGCGCGCGCCTCAGGGCCGCGGTTTTCGCGCTTCGCGCCTCTACTCCCGCCCCGGGCCCCGCACTTTGCCCACGTGGGAGGCTGGAGCCAGGACCCGGCACAGCGAACGGAGGCCGCGCCTCGCTTGGCAGGAGCTCGCCCCGGGTACCGTCGTACAGACCTGGGACGAAACGCAACAAGTAAGGGGCGTCTGGGTGGCTCAGTCGGTTGAGCTCAGTCGGTTGACTTGATTTCGGCTCCGGGCATGATCCCAGAGGTGTGGGATCGAGCCCTTAGTCCGGCTCTGCCTGCTTGGGATTCTCCCTCTCCCCCCCGCCCCCCCGCTTGTGTGCCCGCGCGCGCGCTCTCTCAAATAAAAATAATATCTTTTTTTTAAAAGAAAGTATAATTACACCCAAGAAAATGGCATAGAAATATGGGTGTATGTTGCATGCGTATCTGCCCATTTGCTCATGTCAGCAACAAGGCTGACCCTAGAGTAGTGGACAAAGGGGTCACTCAGATACCCAGGCAGATGTGTGGCTCCTGAGCCACACCAAACCCTTTTTTTTTTTTTTAATGTTTTATTTATTTCTGAGAGAGGGAGACAGACAGCGTGAGCGGGGGGGGGGGGGGGGGGGGGGGGGGGG